CAATTAGGGCAGCCCTTACATTATGGACAAGCCAAAGTGTGTTGATTTTCATAAAAATAGCAGTGGGCCTTTTACTTCAGCCAAGATAATAGTAGTACTGGCAAAGACCACATCTTGAGCAGGCTTTCTTTGCATTACTGATTCATTCGGCAAAGCACTAATTGAAAAAACAGCTAATAAATCACTGCTGCCTGTCAAATGGCAATAGAAAACTGAAAAAAGAAAAACATCATGCAATCAACTTTAAACATGGAATAAAAGCCCTTTTGCAGCTTGTCATTTTAAGTAGCACTAGGATATTGCCAGTCCTATAATATTTTCCACTAATAAGCAATATGTGAAAAATTTCTTCTCACAGTCCTCTCTCTCTAGAGCATCTAGAGCAAAGAGAAGATTTAAATCCCTCAGTAAAACTCCAATACTTGTTGATTTCCTGTTGCCCTTAATAAATCACTCAGATTTTCATATGCTGACTTTGTATGAGGTGGTTAGCACTTACTTCGAATTGCTAGAATTTCCTATTGTGAATTCAGAAGTATTAATTTAATGCTTGAGCTATTTCATTATATTTTCTGGCTTGGTTCCCAATCATTTTCTTAGCATCCCATTACAACAAACATGGAAGCTCATGCTTAGCATTTTTATTCTGTGTCTATTTCAGGTCCCGTTAATTTTTTGTCATTTGGAACATATGAGTTCTTTTTAGTGGGGGTTAATATAGGATGTAACCATCGATAGCTGTTATGCTGATATTTTTCTATATTTTTTATTAGTGCCGTTAAAATAAAAGATGATGTTTGCAGATAACTCTAACGCTCTGTTATTTGATCAACAAAGCCCACAGCCCACAGCATCTCTACAGAAATGTGAATTTTTAAAGCACATCAGGATACTGGGTAAAATCAGGAAACAAATATAGAAACAAATCAAATGACTATGAAAAGTTACACAGAAATCTAGCAACACAACAGGAAATTGAAGCCTTCTTTTTGCATCTATTCCTATATATTAAATATAAAATTATTCTGGTTCACTGAATGAAGTATGCAGTACAAATTGTCTGAAGAGCTGTTAAAAAATATTTTGCAAGTAACACTTGAGTTCTCAAATGGGACCCTTCCTTTTCTGGGTGATTGAACAATTTTAATTTCCAATTGTACCTTCAAATTTTGGCTTCTTAGAAATTACACAGTTAATTTTAACTTTTGCTAAGAAAACCATGACTTCTTTAGTGGACCAAAACATGCTACAAGATTTACTATGGTCTACAATAAGCTTTTATGAGCAGTTGTGGAACAGCCTGTTCAACAAGGCAAATCTCCTTTTATGGGTATAAAAGAGTTCCCTAAACAATAAATTATTACATATGTTTTTAAAGGCAAATACTTTTTTTCTAAATCATCACGTAAATTAGTGATATTTTTTCAGTCACACCTTAGCAATATCCACTAGCAAGATTGCCTCAAAACTCACTATGCAATATTGGAAAATATTTTCAATTTTTAAACAAATTTTTATTTGATCTATAAGACAAAGGTTACCTATAGTAAATCCAACAGCTTCTAAGGAAATTTAATTGCTGTAAAATAAGGGGTACTATTCATTCATGTAGGTCTAGAGGGAGTTGGACTAGCTTTGAAATTATTAACATACCTGTAAATGATCTAGCACTTGAGGCAAAAGGTTCAACATGAAAGTTTATGAGTTATTCAGGGTAGCAAATATGGTAACAATGGAGAATTATAGAAAACCTTTACAAGAGCAAGTGACTGAAAAAAAATGGCTAATGACATTCAGTCTGGATAGCTGTAAAGTAATGTAAGAGCAGTAACAAAAAAAGTAACCCTAATTTTACACATTAAACAATGAGAGGTAGTAATTATTACTCTGGAAATGTAGCTTGTAATTATAAGAAACACTTCTATAAAAATATATCCTTGGTTTATTTGTCAGCAGCAGTCCAATTATTGAGTCAGATCTCAACAATTCTTAGGAAATAATTGAAAAACAGAATAAATCAGCAGGCATTTGTGTCTTGCTTATGTTTATATCTGATCCTTTAGACTCAAAGAATCTACAGTGACGCAAGAAGCCATAAACAAAGACAGGAGAGCATTTCCAAGTAAGAAATAAGCAAACAGACTGTGATTTCCAGACTGGAAATCAATCCATATAATTATGATTTGGAAAAAAGTAGAAAGGGTTGACTGTTCCCAAACAAAAGACCCAGGAAAGGAGTTGGGAGAGAAGTGGCTTAGAAATTAGATTAGCACAGGGCAAATTCAAAAGAAACAGCTGGAATATTTTCCCCACAATGTATCTATGAAACACTTTGAGGTAGATGTTGAATTTACACAGGTTCAGCAATGTGCTGGTAAAGTTTGTGGTAGAACAATCTATTAGTTGCAATTCAATACAGATGTGCTACCACTCATTCAAGAAGCCTTTGAAGCACAGAAACCTCTGAAATCTGGGACTGTATTTGGGGAAAGCAGCATTTTATGTTCACCTTAGTCCTGGGTTCTTCACAGGCATACACTATGTGTCTCTCTTGGAGACATGCTGGATTGTGAAGACCTTGGATCACTCTTACATTCCTCTTTAGTAGTTTGGTCACTATTGGGTGAAGCTCTAGTATGTTCCTGCTTCTTTCCTTGCTTTCAGTGTTTGCCCTTCGGAAGATGAATAGTTCTTTTAGTAGGCTTTGCTTACATTCCCATGTAATGATATAATTCCCATATCTCTTTCTTACTGCCTTTTATACCATTCACCATTTATACTATTCATTCAAGGAGAAATATATCTCAAGTAGGCATGCATTTGTATTTACTCCATAGCTTACAACAAACACCACAAAGTAAGCCTAAAAGGATGTCGATGACAATTAGAATTCAGTCTTCTGAAATCAGCCCCAAAGCTGCTAAATCTGATAGGCTTTTACATAATTTATTATTTAACTAATATTTTACTCAACCCTTCAGAGAGATTTTCACTGCAAGAATTAATTCCACTACTCTTCAAATTCACTCAGCTTCTACAGGATCCTATACACTGTTTCTTGCAGGGATGTAGTCATTCTAACTCGTACCCCTCTAACATGCAGATTACACTGATAACAATAATGGAAGTCAGTGAAAAATATACTTCATTACTCTGAAGTGATCTGAAGTACCTGGATAATTTTCATTTTAGCAGATTGTGTCAGCTAATGTGAGAAATAACAGCAAGAGGCCACAAAAACATGTTTATCCCTGTTATTTCTCTGGTAATTGAACATTAGATTACAGTCACATAAAGCCTCGTGCAAACAACTTTATCTTATTACCATTTCCTTTGTCATACTAGCTCTTCAAGAGGTCTTTGCTGTGCAAATGAAGCAACAAAGTTTAGGGAAGGAAAGCCAATTCATCTGAAGGAAATCCTCGGGAAAACATTATACCATAATAGAAAATTCCTAGAAGCAGAATGAATTTAGCCTTACATTCAGTTGACTAAAAGCATGGTCAATATGATTTTGTACTCCCTGTGCACTACTAGCCTTCTCTTATCAGGACAAGTAATAAAAACAGAAAGGAAATCTCATTTGAATCCTGTTGATGTATCATGTCTAAAGCCAGCAAGATCTCCCTTCCACTGAAGTGTTTCACAGCACCGGCTAAGAAGAGTGAGTGGAAATGAACTGCTACACTTATATCTTTCTCCTTCCAGCAAACTGTAAATGCAGATATGCATTTTCAGATCTGGCTTAAGGTTGGCAAGAGGGTTTCAAAGCTCTAGAAGGAGGATTAGGGTTTGGGAGGGGGTTGTTTTTTTAGGCTTTTTTTACCCTTTAAAAAAACAAACAAATCTGTAAGTTGTGCTGTGGAGCCACAGCCTCATTTTTATACTCCTACATGCTGAGAGTTTTACTGGAATAGAAAAAGAAATAGAGCTTTAAATGTAGTGGCTGGGAAAAAAAAGTAAAATAAAATAAAAAAGGAAGATAAGAACAAATGTGTTTCAGGAGAGTCCTGATTTTGCATTCTTCAGGGCCTAGCACAGCAGTTCATGCACAAATAGTGCCTGCACCAAAATTGCTCCAAAGTGAAAGATGTTGAGCTATAAAATTTTTGTAATTATTTTTAACCAGGAACCAATGTTAAGCTGATTAGCATTAATGTTTCTTTAGTTGCAGCAGAGACTAATTATTATAGAGTAAACCACTCTCACAAAAGAACCCCCCTCTTCCAAAAAGAAAAAAAAAACCACAACATATAAACAGGACAAATTCAATTTCAGATGTTGTCTGAAGGAATGATTTTTAGGGTCTTTTGTTATTTTTCATTTCACTTCGATTTGGATGTTTTTCAGGATTTTTTTTTTCTGGTTTAGGGTTGTTCAGTTGTTATGCTTTTTCAATACACAGGTGTGGGAGCCAGTCTTTCTTTGAATGGTGTCCTGGATACTTTTGCTTACAGTCTTACTATTGTATTGCAGCTTTACAAAAATTATCTAGGTAAGGTATAAAATCTGGATGTGAGTGAAATGAGATGATTACCTACACATCCTCTGTGGGAGAGAGCACAACTGTAAGGCCAATCCCACAAAAGCTATTGGAAGCTGGACTGAAACCTTGAATCCCTCACAGGACTTAATATTCATAATGAGAAGTTTGACCTGTTCTGGCATCCAATTATACAAAACAATATATATAGTTTAATAAGTTATCATCAGAGAGAAGGAAATCAAAGCCAAGTATGATCTCATTCTTCCATATAGTGTATTAACCTATCAAAAGACTTAGAGTACTCTATCACTGAAGCAACTTAATAATTAAATGGAAGATGTCCAGTGCTTTATCACCCTTTGTGTCTGTACTTTGCTAAGGAGAGGAGCATTTGATAACTTTAGGAAAAAAATGAAATAAAATAAAGCAGCTAAACACTGATTAGGAGCTTTAATGTAAAAAACCAAAGCTTCCACAGAATGCAATCCCAGATCCAAAAGAATAATTTCTTCCATAGTACATTTTCAGGAGTTGAGTTTATTTTTAAACATAGATAATGATACATCTTCCATATTGTACAGACTGTCTGCTTAATTGTCTATTATTGTAGCTTGAATATTAGTTACTTGAATACAAACAGCTAAATACACTGACAAAGATAAATGAAGCTCTAAAAGAAATTAATGAACATCTCCCATTGTGAATGAGTTTTTCGTCTGTGACTACACTCGGATTGTGTTAATATAAACTTTCAGGCACAATATATTCTCTCACAGTGGTGTTTTTTCATCTGCATGATAACTTTTTTACATAATTATATATGGATTCTTTAATTTGGAATGTCTTTTTCTGCAAATTGTTCACAGAACAGAAGTTTAGAATGATCAAACCTGACACAATCATTTTGGTTGATACCTTATGTGGGAGTTTCACACAACTTTCTGCTTTTATGTGTCTTCTTAGTGTTCTGTTATACAAATCAAATGAAACAGAAAGCTTCCTTGAGTCTTGAATGCATAAATTATTATGAATTCCAACCTACTACAACATGAGCAACAAGAAGATAGCACATCCCGATGGTACAGGACACGATCATCATGGGGAAACCTAACCTGAAACAACAATAAAAGAAAGATCAATAATAATAATACTATTAATAATAAAGCAGTGACAAAAGCATGGATGTATTGTGAGATTATGACAGGGAGTCTAATACTCAACCTTATTTTCTATCTCTATCCTACTTAAGAGATTTGTGGAAATCAACATAATGTTGTTGATTTCAATGCGTCACTTTCAATTTACTTTGTCTCACAGGTAAAATAACAATTCTTAGAAGTTACGCAACATTGGGATAGATCATCCAGTATCACCTAAGATCAGATGAGCAACCCTAGGATATCTACTAGGGTAGAAATTCTAATTTCTGACTTAATCTATGGCTCAAACTCCTTATTTTTTTTTCCTTCTAAGCCGCCATCACATAAAGATAGTATTTCTTTTCTGTACTTATCATTAAGTTTTGAATCAAGAGCTGAACATTAATGAATGGTTGGAAATAAAGCCCAGACAGATGTATAAGCACTAAAACTGTGCTATTCAGTTAAAAACAGCTCTTTGCTTTACATCACAGATTAAGCTGTTCAGACCACAGCCATTATATTTTACAGCTTTCTTTAGATTGACAAACACAGGCAGCAGAGATGGACAACTACAAGGGATGTTATGGAATTCACTGATTCTTACTCTGCTAGTTTTGTAGGTCTTCCATGTCTGTGAAAAGAAGGGAGTTCATTTTCTGAAACTTAAAAAATGTTGTTTTGTGGCACTGAAGGACTGTGAAGAATCACTACTGTGATCACACCAATTTGTTTTATGTTACTAAAATTATAAAGAGAACTTTGATGAGAAATGATCATGTGACAAATGAGACTCCTTATGTAATTTCTTTTGTTGAGTCCAGCCAAGATTTTCCATAAACCTCTTCAAAGTGTGGTAGTGCTCTCTGAAGTGCAGCCTTTGATTTATTCTCTTTCTTGAAGTAAGACCTACTTATTATATATGGGTATATTAGCTGTGGTTTTGCTTGCTAGGAGCCTTTGAGAAAGTTCCAGGAGCCCATATATTGATGATAGGAGAGCACCATTTTCTGAGCTCGAGTGCATGAATAACACCTTATTTTGGGAAAGTACAGCTAAAAGAGGCCTCTTGGGACATTTAATCTCTCCAACACTTCCTGAATATAGGAGAAAATTACATAAAATGAAAATTAAATACCTCAGTGTCTCATTGTACTCTACCCCCTCCACCTCCTCCTACCTGCAGCTGCAATGTTGCTCTAAACATTGTGATATTCAAAAGTCACATTTATTTTGTTGCTGTTTCGCTGAAAAACTGACTGAAGAAGGCATAGATGTGACCAACAGAACAAAGGAACTCATCATCATAGGTTTAAGTTACTGATAACAGAATTCATCTCAGGAACTCAGATCACACCCTACCCCTAGCCAGATACACAAAAATCAGTCCTAGCCTAGAAAGCTGACTGAACATTTAGGAAAACAGTACAATTCAAACATTCTGAAGCAAACATTGGAATTACTTAGTGAAGAACAAGCTTTCCCACAACGCTAGCTGTTCTTGACTCACTATCAGAATGAAACTGAAATGTACTGTTAGAAATAGAGGCAAAAAGAGGAGGAAAAAAATAAATAAATAAATAAAGGAAACACCAGCAAGTTTGAAAATATTAGAGGGACTAACCTGTCAGGGCTAAGAGATCATCTCATTTCTGATTCCTTGACATCCCTCTGAAAAGGCTGTCATCATCCTTTGTCCATGAACATGCATTTCCTGTCCCAGAAGGACAGTTCCAGTGCCTAGCTCAAGTGGATTTCTCCTATGTTTCTCTGGGATTTAGGACCTGGTGTGCCAAACTCTCCTGACTTTCTGGTAACAGGCATTATTTTTTGTATTCTAGCTTCAAAAGCATTAATGTTAAGCTGGTATATGGAATTGGGAAAGCAGAAAGGGAGAAGAGGAGAGAGAGAAGGGCTGGGTGTGCTCAAGTGGTGAAAGCTGAGAAGAATTGTTAAAAAGGCTCACAGGAATTTCACAGCATTCAAGTATTCCCTCAGAAGTCTGAAATATATTTGGAAGTGCTCATTTCTTTTTTGTTTTGCTTTGTTTTGTTTTTTTCCAGATCAGCATGTGTAATTATGTTGCAAGTGTTAAAGTTTGACTATTTAGATCCTTACTTTTGAGCAACTACTTGGAAAAAAAAAAAAAAAAAAAAAAAAGAGTCATTATTCAGATCTTTAACATTATTGTTTTTATTCAGTATTCACTAAAGCTGGTAACATTGCAAAACAGAAGAACAAAACCTATTTACATTGGAATTATTTTAGAAAAAACAAAACGAAACAAAAAATAAATGAATTTGATGGCTAGCCAATTGTTCTGAATCTTTCCTTCTTCATCTGAGCATGTTTGATTTCCAGTCCTCCCTAATCTCATTTACATAAAAATGTCCAGATAGGGCAAAAACAAAAGAAAAGGCAGCAATGGCTGTAGAAATAAAATAGCATGGCTATGAAATCTTCCTACATCCTTCAGTATATTTCATGAGCGCTCCCTGCAGCTGAATCCATATGACATACTGGTGAAGTGGAGACCGCTACAACTCTCACAAGAAAACAGTTGTTATTTGACAGAAAACAGAATTTTATTGACCTCACAGTTAGCAAGCAAAGAACTGGTACTGAGAGAAGTGAGCATAGCACAGATCTTAATCTGTACTAATACAACCTAACAAACCTCCCTGGGGAACACACAGCAGCACAGCAGTGAATGACAACATAATGCCTTTATGAAGATTTGTGATGGGATGGAAAAATCCAAACAGTTTCTCAACCGCTAAAAAGAGAAGAGACTCAGCATGAAAGGTGTCCATGCAAGAAAATGGGTGGATTACGCAGGATCTCATACAGGCATGCAGGAGCTGTAATCATGCCCCTACTCTCACAGTGGGAGCCAAACTTGCAGCAAGAGCCACACACAGCCTGGATGGTTGTGGTTGCCATCATTTAGCATGGATGGTTGCATAGAGCCCAGCTATGAAACCATTACTCTTGTGACATGGACAATTTCCTCTCAACTTGAGGCCTGAATCTCAGGACCACTAGCCTGAGCAGAAATGTAATTGCATCAAATTCTATGTGGAATTTGTGCCAGGGAGAAAGGAGATGAAGATCACTCCATGAATATTAGTTACTGCAGAGACAGTCAATTACCCGTGCCAGATCAGTGCCCAGCTGTGCTATTGCTCTACCTCAGGGGAAGACACAGCTCCTGTATCAGGCTACATGCAACATAATGTTTAGGTACCTACGTTTTCTTTAGTTACATCAAATGTAAGAGCACATTTTAATCAATGTAAAATTTACTTTCCACCAATGCTCATTTTCAGCATTCACCTCGAAGTGATAAAGTAGCACGTCAGTTTTGTTCCTGCCCAGGAGAAATGATCAGTAATGCTTGGTAGTTCTAAGATCTCCTTCTCAACTAACACTTCATGTTAGTAAGAAACACTAGTCAGCATCTTCATCATGAAAATACATGTTTACAAGATCTTGTAAAGGCAGCACATCTGGTGTGACATTTCTATACACCATCTAAGGGAAGAGGGCAGACACATCCCACACTGGGCAGCTTTTTCACCCCTTGTGACCATTGCAGACAGGGAGATACACAGCTCCTGAATAGGACAAAAGATTCACCCTAACTCTCTGAACTGTAGCCAGTTCAGGGAAAATGCACTTTTCACTGCTTCAGAGAGGAAGGGATTGGTAACAGGACCTAGCATTTCCCCCACTTTCTCCTCCTCTTCTTACCAGAATTTTACATGCAAACCTGCTATCTAAACAAAAATCACACTGCTTAAATATACTCAAGTAGATGTTAGTTCAGTGTGAGATACTAGGAACATTTCAAGCAGCAGCCCCAGGGAGTTGTCTTGGACAAAGTTTTGCTTATTAATAACTTGAGTGATCCAGTAGTGAAAAGCTTGCAAATCACCCCAGTGCAGGAGAAATGTCAGACTCTGTGGAGAACATAATTCAGCATGTTCTTGACAAATTAAAACAAGAATTTGGAATGTGTAAGGTGAAACTCTGTAAAGAAAAGTGTGAAGTATGCATTAGGAGAAATCAAACACAGGCACAGAAACCAGCAAGGAAAACGAAGCTTTTTCATGGTAATGATCTAGTTATTTTTGATCCAGCCTCATTGCAAGATTTCTGACCCTGTATTTAGAATAAAAGTACACTGGTAGGTGATTATTTTGAGGATAAATCCCATTTATAATTAGTACCCACAGAGGTGAGCATTACAGTTTTCTTAGATTAGAAGTTTATCCAATATAATTTCTAAATAACAATAGAGCCTTTGGGGTCAAAGTTGTATTTTCCTGAACAAACTGATCTCTTGCCATACCATGCAACTCTAGTTGGTTGTGCTTTAAGAACCAGCAGGACCTACAAGGTACAAGACCAAAGTTGATCATCTTGTACTGCCTAATTTGAGGCATGACATACGAAACACTCTTACCCATAAAAACGCCACCTACAGGCACCACCACCCTGACAGTTGTAACTACAGACAGCAAGCAACTTACACAGTCTGTATATCCTCTGGGTACCAGTGCAAAACCATGCCTGCAAAGAAGTGGGGAACATTCAGTCCTTACTGATTGGGAAAGCAAAAGCAAAAATCTCCCAGGATCAAACATTTGGCAGTGAAAGAATTCTGGAGGCAGCCAGCGGTAAGAGTTAAAACTAACTTCTATTCCGGCTTGCACGCACAGTTTAACACACAAATTATACTGATGAGGTTTACATCAGGCTTAAAATTTTGTTCTTCTCACTTCATATCAGTTCCATTCTGTACGCTCTATAGAAGATACAACATTCTCACCCATTTACTGGCTCCCTTTATTCAACACAGTGCAGCACACCTGAAGCTTGCCATGTCATCTGAAAATATTTCACAAAGAACAAATGATGGATAATTCTTATAATTCCTGGAAATTATCTAATCACATGCAATGCCTTGC